AAAAATGCCTCCTGAAAAATTCAGTTTTACACAGTTTGTGGAATGACAAGCACTTTCCTGACCACCTCAGGCAGGCTGTTCCACACAGGATGGGGACCTGAACAGAGAATGCACATATATGGGCAGTTGTTTTATGTTGTGTATCTATTTCATACAGAAGGCCCTTTGTAGATAAGTGAAGCTGAACAACAGAAGAGACAGTATTCACAATAGGATCACTAGTCCCCTGCTTCTAGGGGCTCGAATCCGCTGCCGGGCAGCTGACCAGTTTGGGAAGCCCCACTCCCAAGTTGTGGCCACCAGTGTTCCCTCTAAGCTGAGTTAGTGTGAGCCAGCTCAGTTTTTTAGCCTCCGGCTCACACATTTTTGTCTTTGCTCAGGAAGGAGGGCTCTAGAGCAAACTAATTTATGCAGTAGCCAAATCGCTCGCTCACAAAATAGAATTTTTGCTCACAAGACTCCACAGCTTAGAGGGAACATTGGTGGCCACCCCTCTCCCTCCCCTCTTGCAGAGATTTAAAGGGTTTCAGCTGATCAGCAGGGAGCATGTGGCCCACTGAGCAGCTGGAGGGCTCTTTAAATCTTTCAGCAGGGATCTTTCACTGGCCACAGCTCCGCTCGCAAAAGGACCTTTTAAAGGGTCTTTTTTGAGTGGTGTGGGGGCTATGGCACAGGCGGATTTCCCAGCAGTGATTCGCCACTTGGGATTCAGGCCTCCACTGCCACCCCACTCTCTGTGAGTCCCATTTCCAGTCTGTGGACCATTGTTTTGTTTTGCACATTTGGTGTTATATTCTTGATATGATTTTTATGGACCTCACTTCTGTGGCTTGAAGTAGCTCTATTGATATCCTGTCTACTCATGGTGATTTGTTTCTCCCAGTTGTTTTGAGTGCAGCTTTCGCTTCACTTTCTAAAATTGTGGGTGGTTCTTCAAAAGATTCTTCTAGAAAGGAATCTGTCATCCTTTCATTGCTTCCGTATAGTTCTTCAGTGTATTGTTCCCATCATTTCTTTATTTTGTCTAATTAATATATTTCCATGTTGATCTTTCAGCATGCCTAACAATGTTTTAAATTTCCCCTTGATTTCTTGGATCTTGTAGAACAGATCTCTTGTTCTTCCTTTTTTTTTTTTTTTGGTTCTCTTCTATTTCTTTACACTGGTTGTTATAATAGTTCTCTTCGTCTCTAAATGCCAGTTGCTGGAATGTTGGTATTTAGACTTCTGATTCTATTTCTGTCACCGTTTACTTTTTCTTCTCATCTGTCTTTAGCATTTTTAATTGTTTAATTAGTCATCCACTGAGGCTTTTTATTTCTTTTTGGCTACAGGAATTGTCTTTGTGCATTCTTCCTTGATGATACCTCTGGTTTCAACCCATAATTCTTCTAGTTCCAGTTAACTTGAACTTAGTAATGCAAAACTGTTCTTTACAAGATCTTTAAACTCTTCAGGAATGTTGTTTGGATTATATTTTGGCACTATGGATGTTTTGGTGTTTTTCTTCAGCTTTGTTCTATTTTTTATATTAACAATTCATTGTCTGTACAACAATCAGCTCCCGGTCTTCTTTTAGCAGAGAGAAATCTATTTGATTTCGGTATTGGCCATCTGGTAATGTCCACATATACAATCATCTGTTTGGTTGCATGAAACGTGTTTGCAATGAACAGCTTGTCTTCACAGAACTCTGAGTTTCATTTCTTGCTCCTAGCCCAAGTTTTCCAACAATATTTGATTCTGCTTTGTTTCCCGCTTTTGCGTTCCAGTCATCTTCCTGAATATTTGCATAAAAGCTTTCAACTTCGTCCTCTTCAGTATCTGTATTTGGAGCATAGACTTGAATGATGGTTATTTTTGATAGGTTTTCCATGAAGCCTGATTGATATTGGTTGGTCAGACTTTTGCATTATGGCCCCAATTGCTTGTGCTACCTCATCTCACTCCTAATCCAGTCCTGTGGAACAGCTACCATCCATCTATCCTTTCATATCTAACACAAGGAGGACACAGTAACGAGGTCATTGTTGGCCTGCCAGTAGCACAAAGAAGAGCAAGAGGCCTCTAAGGCCCAAATGGTTTAGGACTCAGTTGAGTACTTCCCTGACATCTATATATAAAGTGTCAGTACCTGCACAAATGTCATTGCCTGGTTGTCGCCTGATCTTGAAGTGCACCGCCATCATCTCAGTATTTCAAAATATTTATTTAAAGGCATTGATATAAGACTTGTTAATTGCATTTGCAGTGTTAATTTTTTTATAGTCATCTCTCAGAAGGCAGATGTCCTTCTAATTTTTGTTCTTTGCCCCATCCCTCCACCTCTTTATCCCAGCAGCTGCTCATTTTAGTACTTTTGTAGGGATCCCACTATTACATTTTAGCAGAAGAGAAGGCTACAAGACACAACATTTTCATTTGTTTCATAACTTGTGGGTTGTAATTGGAATAGATAGGTCATGCTGACCTAGAGGAGCAAGGGTAAAGCTTACTGAAATAGGTTCTCGCTAGACAGTGATCCAAATATAATCTTATCAGTTCCTAAATTCCTATCATATTTTCCTTTAGTTAATTTAGTAGCCTTCTAGTTCTTGCTCAAGATCTTCTGATCAGAGGAGCTCTGAAAAATAAAAGGAAATATGTCCTTAATATTAATAATAAGCATTGTGGAGAAAACACTGGAGAAAGGCTATGACTTAATTGCAAAACTTGTATGTTTAAATGAATAAGGTCCTAGATTCAATTCCTTGCATCTCTAATCATGAGGGAAACAGACCAGTACCTGAAATAAGATGGACTTTTGGTTTTATTTCTCTTTGGTGTAGTGGTTTGGTGTAGTGGTTAAGTGCACGGACTCTAATCTGGGAGAACCGGGTTTGATTCCCCACTCCTCCACTTGACCTTGGGCAAACCATAGTTCTGATAAGAGCTGTCCTTGAAAAAGAGCAGTTTCTGTCAGAGCTCTCTCAGCCCCACCTACCTCACAGGGTGTCTGTTGTGGGGAGGGGAAGGGAAAGGAGTTTGTAAACCGCTCTGAGACTCCTTTGGGTAGTGAAGGGTGGGCTATAAATCCAATCTCTTCTTCTTAGTTTTACTCAATCATCCTTTTGCCTGATTTAAGAATTCCT